CCCCAAAACCCCAAAACCCCAAAACCCCAAATCTGGACGTAGAAATTGAACTTTTCATATCGGCCAAGCAGCCTAGAGTGATTGTAGGGAAGTCCCAGTGTGATAAATTAGAAGCTATGTTCAGAGCCACTGAAAATCCTTACTCCCATAGATCTCAAAAAGGATTGTCTAGACTTTTATCCAAATTTAGCTGCAAAATTTGATGCTAACGTTTAGTTGTACATCCCTTCTCATTCTTTAAGATAGCTATTAGGTCAAGTCACATAAGAACTTGTTGCCAAAATCTTCGTAGATATCCCTGTTTATTGACTCTTTGGACTTCTCTACAGGATCAAGAGGAGCTTACCTCGGCGGAGATTTATCGGAGATTCCTCAAGATGATTACTTTTTCTAGGCAGTTAATTCACAAAATTACTTCTTCTGTGCTAGTCCCTTGGGATGGCGGAACCCCATCTCCCTCTGCATATTCTTCTTGACTAACTTAATCTTAGGTTTGCTAGGTCTGAACCTAAAGTTCTTGCTGATTTTATTTCTGCTTGATCTTTATAGGAAGAGAAGTAAGATCCTTGGGCCCACTATAACGTTCGGTCCTGATTCGAGAGGATCTAGCAGGCTTTTGCTCTAATTCGACTGATTTGCCTGGTAATACGACAATGTCACACTCATCAGTTTCTCTGAGTTTATTTCTCCATCAGTTCAACCTCATCGGCTTTAGGAAGGTTTATACCTAAATGGGTCATACAGTGTTGGCCTACTCATGGTGTTCTTTGAAAGATCTCTTGCCTTATCTACCCTCCTACTAAGCTTCGAGTTCAATGATAAGTTCTTAAGAAACTTTGACCGATTCTTAGAGGAATCTAGGATTTTAGAAAAATTTTAGTACCTGTTAGACCCTGATTCTTCACCCTATCATTGAGTAGTAAGAACTGTTCAGTTGAGCTGTTGTTAATCAAGTAAAACTTCTGAAATCCTGTCTTCACCTCTGTGGCTGAAGGCCCAATTGCTATAGTTAGGTAGGCAAGACATACTGTTCAGCTTCGGTAGAGAAGTGAATGGCTGCCTCTGCTACATCATTACACTTCTTGAAATACCTTTGCATTGGGCTTCTTTGGTACTTTTTCTAGCTGTGATAAACTCAATGCATTTTGTAGGATATTCTTTTTACTTCGGTTCCTAAACCTACACTTATAGACCTACCTGGATTGGGGACATCTTGCACTGGCAGACTTATCTCCTCTCGCAGAAGAAATGGTACTCCTAAACATCACTAGAAAACTTACATCAGATTATTGTATTCGGTCTTTCTTTCCTCTCGGTTTCCTTGAAGTCTCTGAAGAATAGACTTGATCTAAAGATAAGACAAAGAGGGTACATTTTTAGCATCCTTAGTTAGTAACGAACCGGAGGAAGTCCCCTCTTCAAGCCCAGGGATGTTATTCTGACTATTTCAGCAAGGAGGTTCTTTCTGTATATCTCTTAATCAAATAATCCTTTTCTACACAATAAGGAATAGGTGTACCTCTTCCTAGGTCTCTAGGCTGGCCAGGATAATACAGCACTGTTTTGCTATAAATATTGCTCACTGGATCTATAGAGTATTATTCCACCTAATTTTCTGTAATTTTTCATATTCATATTAAATTAAATGAAATTTAGAAAAGGAACACAGAAATTTTATAATGTTAGCAAGAAATTATGAAAAATTGAGTGCATTTATGCATAAATCTGGACTCTTGAAGAGGTAAGACTTCCAGGAGGTCGCTAGAGGCGACCTCCTGGTAGCATTTCCTTCTTAGTGTAGCAATTATTGCTAAAAATTACTCACATGCCATTTTCTATAAATTATTTCTAAATTGGGGTTTTGGGGTTTTGGGGTTTTGGGGTTTTGGGG